CATGATCCATATGAAAAGACACATCTTTTCATCTACATTCTCTAGAATATTCCACAATATTCTACACAATTCCAATAATTTCAAGTATTAAGTGGTTTAAGTTTGGCTTAATTTCTCATTCACCAAACAAGGAATTTCCACTTAAATCATTTCAATTGGTCACAACCAATTTCCAACACAAAATTCCTACAGATATTAATAATATCTCGAGTTTTTTGACTGGCTTGTTTAAGGAAGATAGGCTCCTTTCCATAAAATAAAGCATCACGAGTAAAAATATCAATATCGGCATTTGCAGCTTCAGCATATAAATTCAGTTTATCCTTCCCAAGTATCAAACTCTGGCATTTGTTTAGAGAATTGAACGCTATAAAATAGTATTCTATGCACTTACTCTGAATTCTTCCTTTCGCAAGTGCTTTTACCAAATTCAAGGATGTCTTGGCACTGGTTATTGCTTTGTCGATGGCAATTTGACCTAATCCACGGAGATCAGCTTTAACAGAACGAGGATCTGATCTTAAAACTTCATCACAGGAAGAAAGATTCGATGTCTTCGAACAAAGGTCTCCAATTAAATCAGCTTTCACATTGTCAAATGTAAGAAAGCTGCATAGGAATGCTAATGAAAGAGTAGAAAAGAAAAAGGAGCCACTAGCCATTTTTTCGATTCTCTTCTTTTCCTTGCGCTTTGTTTCTTTTCTTTTCGACAAAGTTTATGATGGAAAAGCAGTATTATATTATACAGATCACAAGACAATCTTGTCAACAATTCTAGACAATGTGGAAAATCAGAAGAGGGATTCAGAAAATTTTTGAGGAATTAATGCAATTTATAATTAATGGTTTCTGTATTATATACTGATTTCTGTAATATATCTTAAATTTTCTCCCCTCTACTCTGGATATATACAAAAAAAAAATTAAATCCCTTTAAGAAGGAATAAAATACGGTAAGATGGTATGAGAATCAGAAATGGGATTTAGAAAATTTATTGATGAATTAACGTAATCGTATACTGATTACGAGGATTGGATTTATTTTAATTTTGTTTTGATGCAAGGGCATCTTATACTATGCTAAGCAACGCTAAAATGATACCTAGTTAATTAGTAGATAAATTTATGTTAGGTCCAAAAAATAAAATTTAATGTGTTGAATTAATGTGAAATATGCTAAGCAATGATCCTTAGTACATTACCAATTCTTATCGAGAAAGCAAGTAGTAAAGGAGCAACCTAAAAATACAAATAATAGCAGGTAGAGTATTGATAAACAAGCATAGGAACATGTTCAGTGAGAAGGAGATGGAGTTTGAATACTTTTATTATGCATGACGTAATGACTTGTGAAGTAGTACTTTAATACCCATACTTCTGACCTAATTTTATTTAGGTTTGGCCCGTTATTAAAAAAAATAGACACGATTAATATTTTAATCTGATGAGTTACATGAAAGCTCATTATGTGAAATGATAGTCCACATCTTTTGTATTATTTTTCGTTTTGGATTTAAGTCTAAGCAGTTAAAATTTTATTTAATTTTAATCAAATAATGGAGATAATGTTTTAATTTTATCTCTTTTAATTAAATTAAAATTTTAAATGATTGAGATAAAATCTAATTCCGATTGAGATAATATATTGATTTTATCTATATCTTAATTAATGAGATAATGTTTCAATTTTATTTCTTTTAATTAAAATTAAAATTTTAAATTATTAAAATAATATTTTGATTTTATCTCAATTTTATTTAATTTTAGAAATTATGGAGATATTTTTTTGTTATTTAAAATCATTATCTTATCTCATTAACCGAAACATGGTTGAGATAATGATAAGATTTTATAACTTTTAAAATTCAAAGTTCAATTGAATTAGAACTCCCAAAGTATGGCGATCCCTATAAATAGGTATCATATGTTCAATTTTCAAGTACATTCATTTCTTTGTGAAATACTCTCAAACATGAATATACTATATTCATTAGTACGTGGGCCAAGGGTTCAAATCCTAAATATATTCCAGTATTTCTCTTATCACTCCCACAAGAATAAGTAAGTGTATAAGTATTTTATGGGATTATTTGCGGACATTAGTTTTTTGGAACATTGATTATGAGGTTTTTTATGTATATTCTAAGTTTGGACAAGAGTATAGTAGTGCTACGCCTGAAAATTTCATGCAACCTATTTGGTATAGATTTTCGTATCTCACTATTTATATATGTATGAAGTTCCTTAAATTCCGTAGAATACTGATTCATGTACTTATATGCTTATTAAGATTTTATCTCACACCCTCCTTATACCCCTTTCAAGAAATTAGCGGTTCGTGATAATCAAGGCATAAGAGGAACGACGAAGTGGCAAGTAAAAGAAGACCCACCATGCTCATGTTTATTTATTTAGAATTGAATAAATAGTTGTTTAGAAAAACTTCTATCATTTTTTATTTTTGTAAATCTTTTTTTTTATTGCGTCGAAATTCATTTTTCTTTTAAAGTATCTAATAGAATTTCAAGTTTTGGAAAGTGTATTTCGATGTTCAAGATACGATCTAGTGACACGTGAATCCTAGAACTCGGGTCATCACAGTTAGTATCAAAGCGCACGAGTTTTAATCGGTTTTGTAGACTTTGCAAATTATTTATTTTTTTTTTAAATTAGTTTTCCAGAAATTTAAAAATAAAAATAAAAAGAAGGTTTTTAAGAATCAATAGTTGCAAAAATTGTGATTTGTAAGAAATAAGTCATTGTTTTTGGAATAAGAATTAAATGGTTTTAAGTCATTTCCTCGCTACGCCATTTTCCATATCTTGATTCCTCGAATCAAGTCTATTATAATATGTTTTTTTTATTCATTCATATTTGTCATTTTAAATATTATGGTTATTTATGAAACCTGTTTATTATGTAAAGGATGATTTTTCATGAAATATAAGACATATATAATGTAATTTTATTGATGCATGTTAAGTATGAAGGATTTATATGGAAATAACATAAGAACTATTACTATTCCAAGAAAACCTTTATGTATGATGTGTTGATTAAAAATTACCGAATTGAAAAGATTTATACTTTCAAATACTTTCGTTTCTACATATTGTTTGAGTTTTTTTTTCTTTTTCTTTTTTTTTTTTTTTGAATTTGTGTTCACATAATTGAAAGGTTTTGTCCAAAAGACCAAAATTGTCCAATGCGAGCTTTGGATTCAAGAAGTCCACTGTGACCCCCTTTCTCACCTAGAAGCCTTTTATTTGCGCGTTATATAAATCAACAAAACGAAAGCATTAATATGAACGACAAACTCATTCTAAATTTAAGGAAGTAAAATCTTACATTGGGAAACTTATATAGTTAGAAACTTCTAATTTATGAAATTTCTTGATCAAGAAGATCTTTAATTATCTTAATTATGTTTTATTTAAGGCTAGGCACCTTCAGGTAGAAAAACAAACAATAGAAATGAAAAACCCCAAGAAACCCAACAACTAGAACATCCTCAACCTATTGCATTCGACTCATAGTTTGCCTAGCAATTTCTCGTCATGATGCGAGCGAGCATTCACCCAAGTTACACTGCCAGCATCACCACCTACTCGACAGCCGAAACCACCACCTATGCCACCACAACCTCAGTCACCTTAGGATACGGTAGTCGAGCAATTCAATAAAGAGCATCCCCGATTTTTGGTGGCAACATAGATGCCTTGGAAGCAGGGGACTGACTAGTAGGTATAGAGAGGATTACTGAACTCATTGATTGCCTGGATCCCAAAAGGGTTATATGTGCAATATTTATGTTGCAAAAAGGTATTAGATGCTGGTGGACTATAAGGTCAATGGTTCACAGTCATATCTGGATGTAGAACGAGTTCAAGGAATTTTTCTTGAAGAAGTACTACTCCATGAGAATTCAAAATCGGAAGGAAGCTGAGTTTCTGAAGTCGACACAGGGCTCAATGTCATTGATTGAATATGAGCACAAGTTTGAAGAGTTGTCTCATTATGTTCATATTTTTGTAAACACGGAGGAGAAGAAGGCAAAATATTTAGAACAGAGTTTAAGGGATGATTTGACAGGCTATAGTAGTGTTTGAACTGGAATAATACCATGAGGTTTTGGCAAAAGCATAGTTGGCAGATTTCAGAGAGGTGCTGAAGAAGAGAATAAGCCGCATTACAGGCAGTTGAAGAAATGAAAATGGGTAGATAATAAGGATAAATGAAATCATAACTTCTCAAAGAAGGGTAAATGAGATTCGTCTCAAGATAATAATAAAAGTTTTTTGCTTTGTGGCATGTATCAGAAGTACCAACGGGAAGCTCGTCTTCTGGGGACAAAAGTATGTTTTCGGTGGGGAGAATGATGACATATAACCATGTTTTACCCTAAGAATAAACAACTTGGGAACGAAGAATAGAAACATGAGAATGTTCAAACTAAACAGGGGGAATACACAGCAGAAACAGGGCAATGCAGATATGCACCCAGGGGACAAGCAAGGATCTTTGCACCAACAGAGTAGGACAAGGATCAAAATTGAAATGTTTGGCAGGTAACGTCCTTTTGTCTGACTTAAATGTATTGATAGATTTTGGCCCAACTCACTCCTTTAAATTCTTTAAGTTCGTACATAAACTGGGTGTGATGGTTGAATCTGCATATTTTTTTTGGTAGTGCCTATCCCATCGGGAAGTATGTTGAACATTGATCACATCGTTAAAATGACAATGATAGAAATTGATGGTAGATCACTAGAAATGGAGTTGTATGTGATAGACATGAATGGATTCAATGTGATTATTAGGAGGTAAAGTTCATGATAGATCTCACTCCTAGCTCTGTACCTATCTCTAAGGTTCCTTATAGGATGGTATCGAAAGAGTAGAAAGAACTAAAGACATTGATAGAAGAATTATCAGAAAAGGATTTATCCGGCACATTGTTTCTCCATGGAAAGCATCAGTGTTTTTTTATCAAGAAGAAGGACAACTCAATGAGAATGTGTATTGATTATAGGAAATTGAACAAAATCGCTACCAAGAATTAGTATCCTTTCCCCAAGATTGAGGACTTGTTTTATCAACTTCAGGGTGCAGTAGTGTTCTCCAAGATTGACTTGAGATCTGGTTACCATCAATTAAGAATCACATGGGTGACATCTCAAAGATATCCTTTAAAACTCGATATGATCATCACGAGTTCTTAATTATGCCAGTTCGCCTAACTAAATCTCCTGGAGACTTTATGTATTCAATAAATTGTGTCTTCTACGAGTACTTTGATCAATTTGTTATTGTGTTAATCGATGATACCTTGATCTACTCAAGAAGTAATAAGAAGTATGAAGAGCATTTAAGGATAGTACTGGGAGTCTTGAAGAAGGAGAAACTTTATGATGAGTTCACGAAATGTGAGTTTTAGTTAGGACGGGTAACATTCTTTTGACATATTGTCACGGCCCGAGGCATAGATGTTGATCCAAGCAAAGTGGAGATAGTGTTAAATTGGTTGAGGTCAACCAATGTAGGAGAAATTCATAGCTTTTTGGGCTTAACATGATACTATAGGAGGTATATTGAAGAATTCTCCAAGATATCAGGACTGCTGACAAAATTAACACGTAAGGGTGCAATGTTTAGTTCTTTC